ATCCTCCCAAAACTGTGAAGGAAGAGCCATCTGCAAATTCATGAATTGTCCTTTAGTTTAATCTTCTATTCTCAGGACTAATCAACTGTTTCAGTTGGATCCAGACTCTTAATTCAAGCTGTCAGCTCCTGAAAGTTCGTTTACTGAGCCTGACTCTCTAGTGAAAAACGGAGGACATGGGAGGTTGTAACATAACTCTTGAGATCCCAGTATGTGGACATTACCTTACCTATGAACAGCTGGGCTTGGGTGAAGAGGCCAAACAGAAATGCAGTTTTCAGGCTCGCTAATTGCTTTTCACTAAAGACGAACCCAATAGTGCATGGTGTTATTATTTTTAACATAGCATTTTTCTTTATTGTTTTAGTTTACTGTGCACACTTGATTTGGAGGGAATATCATGTCAGTGGTGGAAAGGAGATTGACATCCTCAAATGCAGAGCTTTAAAGTTGTCAACCTCTGTCGTCACTGTGGCTGAGAATACTTAGGGTCAAATGGACGGTGGTTATTACTAGTATTATATCTTGTTCTATAGAGTTCTTTATAGTGTGCAAACTGCTTTCCCATATCTTTTCTCACTTGGATGACCTAAGCATCTATGTTTCTATGATTTCAGCATGCTGCGAATTATCTCTAGCAAATATTTTTCACCTGGTCGTCCTCTTCTGTCACTCAACCTAGCAGGTGTCCCCATCCACCATCACAAGGAGTATAAGCTTATTTTAACAACACTGGAGGTAAAACCTAAACAGAAAAAAAAAATCCCTTGTCAATTCACATGATTCATTTTGAGCCAGACGTCTGCCATCTGAATTTCTTTGAATGACCGTCTGCCCCATTCTATGGATGTCTGAGGGGTGAAACTGTCTTGTACTCGTGTAAATAATATGTAGGAACACAGCGTGCAAATGGCAAGGAAGACTTTAAAGAAGTCCCATGTAACATTGAGGTTGGCTTTGATTCACTGAGCCCCAGTTGGGCAAGGCACTGTGCAAGGCTAAGAAGGTGAACAGACAGGATCCCCACCCCATTTTAATATATATTTTATTATTATTTAGGTATAATCAGGCCAGCAGATCAGGAGACGGCTGCCACTGTAAAGATTGTTATACTCCCTGCCACCGCACGCAGGGCCACGTGGAGAAGCACCAGGTCCTTCAGGAGGCAGCAGGGGAGGAGGGAACTGTGAGCAAGTGCCTTTATTGTGGTTTGTATGGGAAGGAAGGGTGAGGCAAGGCAGGCAGCCTTAGGGTTCCCTAGTTTGAATAATTTCAGCAGGTTCTGGGGCATAGGAGCTGTCCCTGGTTGTCCGGTCCTTGGCCCCAGGTGATAGTGGCCCAGAGTGTGAGACTCCAGTAAAAGAGGTGGCAGGCACATAGGCTCTGGATTGGTTGGTTTGCATTCAAAAGGCAGACTCCCAGGCCAGTTGTTTACTGTCTCTAGGAGTTGGCTGAGTCTGGAAGGGGCAGTCCCTCCAGGGTCAGCAAGGCCCCAGATGTCAAAGCATCAGCATACAGAGGATAAAAGACATGGGTCATACACAGTCTCCAGGGGCTTCCATTCTAGGGTGGCGAGCAGCCAAGGAAACTGAAACCAGGACCAAATAAATCCCTAAGCCTTAGTTTCTTCAACTATAAGAGGAGGAGTTTAGACTATGTAAATGACAAGGTTTCCTTGGAGACTCCCGTCTGTGATCCCATGAAATAATTCAATATGAAAAGGAGGTGACAAATGCTATAACAGAACTGAGTGCTGTCAAGGAAAGGAGAAGGAAAAGGTGGTGAGTCTTGAAAATCCGGATGGTTTTGAAGGGAGGCACAGGTGTTGGGGTTGGGGTTTGGCATGGAAAGGTGATGCAAGTGGGCTGGTTGGTGGATGATTCAGCTCCCCAGAGGCACCAGGCAGAAAACAAGAGAGAGAGCAGAGGTCTGAAATGGAGACACTTGCGCTCCTCTGCCCAAGGGGACATTTGGCAATGTCTCAAGACATTTTTGACTGTCACACCTTGGGGGCTGGGGCGGGCTGCTGCTGGCACAAAGTGGGTAGAGACCAAGGATGCTGCTAAAGATCCTACAGTGCCCAGACAGCCTCCCCCAGACAGGAAAGGAATATCCTGCCCAAAATGTCAATAGGGCTGAGGCCTGGAAACCCTGAGTTAGAGGAAGGATTGGTAGGAAAAAGTACATGGATTTGTGGTGCCCAAGTTGGCAGGACGTGATGCTCCCCAGGACCTGGCCAGGAGGCAGGAGAAGAAACAGACAGTGGGAGACAGTTTGTTGCCAGGATTTGGTCTTCTCCAAGCCCCAGGTTACATTAAACCAGATAGATGCACAGATGTAGCACTCTTCTTACCCGGAGCCCTCTTGGATTTCACAAATGACACTGAGCAGAGTTTGTTGAGGTTTGCTTTTTGTGTAAGCAGAGTTTTAAATTTTTATGCAGTCAAATCTGTCTACATTTTCTCTCATGATTACCTCTTACACTTCTGAATTTAAAAAGTTCTTCACATACATTCCTCATACCTCATCGAAGATTTGATAAATATTCTCTTCCATTTTCTTATCAATTTCTCATGGGTTGCCTTCTTTAAATATTTAACCGTTTAATTCAGTCTTTCCCAGAGGATGCTGGAAGTATTCTTGGTGATAATATGATTTTAGAAATTCCATTGATAAAGATTTTGGTGTTAATGGCTTCGTGTTCTTTTCAAATGAGTATATAATCATGATATCAAACCTGTATTTTCACCGATGGCATTGCTTAGGATAAGAAGTTTTTAAAGATGAGGCAATTTTAAAACTTATACAGATAACAGAATGGGTGGTAAACAAAATACGGCCAGCTGGTGATAGCAATATGAGAATTACTGAAGTTTGGGAAACATTAAATCCGCTTGAAATTCATTTTGCTGTCTAGAGTAGGGTCACGCTCAGCTGATTTGTCTCCGACTCACCTCCAAATGTTAACCAACTACTCCGGACTGTTTATTGAATTTCTCATTGATAATGATTTTTAAAAATCAATTCTTCTATGCAGCATTGCTAGACGATCTTTTTTGCGCCATTAACCTTTCATTAGTCTTGAGCTATTACCACACATTTAATTACTGTACTTGACTTACTATCCAGCCCCACAGGTCTTCCTTCTCCCCCAGGAGTACTGATTTTGAGGACTGGGGTCAGGCTGGGGGGTTGTAAAAGGTCAGTGACATGTGGACAGCAGCACGCCCAGGAAAGCCCTTGGGGGTCTGACTGGAGTGGATTATGGTTCCAGGGCCAGAGCTGGCCAGATATTCCCAGACTCCTGAGTTCAAAGTGCCAGAGCTCCGCCATCCCAAGGGGAGACGAGGAGGGACGAAAAGGAAATGTTAGGCATTGGTTTCAACTGGGAAGAACCAATGATACTCTGTGTTATTTTTTTTTTTTTAAGATTTTATTTTTTCCTTTTTCTCCCCAAAGCCCCCCGGTACATAGTTGTGTATTCTTCGTTGTGGGTCCTTCTAGTTGTGGCATGTGAGACGCCTCAGCGTGGTCTGATGAGCAGTGCCATGTCTGCGGCCAGGATTCGAACCAACGAAACACTGGGCCGCCTGCTGCGGAGCGCGCGAACTTAACCACTAGGCCACGGGGCCAGCCCCGATACTCTGTGTTATTAAGAACTAGACTGGGAGTGATGAAATCTGAGACCCGAAGGGAGACCTGGGACTGGTCCCCGGGGCGGAGCGCGCTTCCTGCTGTCTGGTCGTCCGGCTGCGAGGTGGGAGAATACCGCCTATTGTCAAATAATGTTGAAAAGACATTTCAATCGATCATAAAAAAGACATGTATATATGTTTACACACACACAATTTTATATCCAAATCATACTAATGTTAAAGAAAGCAGATAGAAAAATCCAGACTTAAAACCAGTGTGGAGATAGGCATTGATTTCCCCCAGAGAGTTCTCATTATATCCCAGGATTCCCTTACATACACAGCTTTCTCAGTGATTGTCATTGTTTCTCTGGAGTTCACCCACACCTGCACTGAAAGGCTAGATGGAACTTAAAAAAGTGAGAAAAATACGAAGAAATATCTCCTCAAGCCACACATCCTATAAATCAGTGGAAAAAAATTATTTAATAAAAATAATTAGAGCCTCACACATACAACTTTTTAAAAACACACAGGGCAGAAAGTGAGCTGGGTATCAGGGGCAGATCGATTCGACTGTCCCCTGTCCCCGTGTGATAGCAAAGCAGGCTGAAACTTCCTGGCCTGACAGCCCCATCCGGAATGGAATTTGACAGAACTGAATGGGGGGTGGGGAGGGGGGTGTGGAAAGGGCCTTAGGATCCTTTTACTCCAAAAACTTGTCCTCCAGAGGAAGAAGCAAAGGACCCTATTACCCATCTCCTGCTCCCCCTCAAAGTGACACCACTTAATGTTATTTTTCCTGCCACCAAAAAGCAAATTCTTGTCACATTTGGCTGGAGGCAGTGTTGAGTCAATCTTGCTGCCTCTGTTGAACTTCTGGTGTCTCAAGTTTGGAGAAAGTGTGATGGACAACATCTTACCACATGGGAGTGAAAGCAAGAGAAGACCAGGGGCAGATGCTGAGTCATGAGTCATGCTAGAGTAAATGCTGAGTCATGGCAGAGCAGATGCTGAGTCATGCTGAGGCAAGCTATCCTGTGGGATTAACCAGGGGAGATTAATCCCAAAGGGATTTGTCTCAAGACTCAAATGAGAGTCTCAAGTGGAAACCTTGGTGCGAATTGAAACAATGTTCATGTGGGAGGCAGAGGAGGATCTGGGAGGATCAGAGAGGATCTACCTCCCTGCAAAATGCTTGGAGTTGTGGCTGGGCTGGGATGTTGCCCATTCTGGAAAGGCCAGAATGAGATCTCGTCCTCCCTCTGTAGTTCTCCAGGCGGGCTTCAGGATCTCCTGGTGATTGAAAAGGGCTTTGCGAAGAAGAGCTGGGTTTATAAATAATGCATTTCCTTTGTCTTGCAGGAATTCTGGAGGCAGAGGTACAATCAGATCGGCTGTGAACAGCTTACATAGCAAATCTAATAGGTTTGTAAATTAGATTTTGTGTTCATTTGTTTTTGCTGTAAGGCAGCTATTAATCTGCTTCTCCCCTTTCCTGGATGGTGCCCTTCTTACTTAGCAAATAGATCTGTTTCGTTTCACTTTGGCTTTGCATTTCCCTAATCACTTTTGGGGAGGAGCTGTCCATATGAGAGTCCATGAGATGGCCCGAGGTCTGGAGCCTGCAGAGACGGAAAACTCAGATGGGTGGCAGCGCTTTTCAGAAAACAGCCCACCCACTTTGAAATGCTTGGGCCACCAATGAATTTATTCACAACTTGTATTTTTGCTGAGCAATGGAGACTCTGAAGGGAATCAGGACATGCACCCAATTTTGTTGTGGTAGATCTAAGCTTGTCCAGGTTAAGATGGAAAATAACTCAGGAACTTCACTGATACCTCATAAAAATATTTAGGGAGTCAACTCAGCAATGTTAAACTTGACTATTGAATGCACACTCTAAATTCTGAAAGAATGCTTCCTCCATAACAGTCCTTGGCCAAGGACAGCTCGATGCTGGGGAGGGAACAAATTCTTTGCAAGTCAGCAGATCCAGGCTGACCACTGGCTGTGGTTGGACCATGCCTCTGAGTCCACCAGTGACAACCACCCCATATCTCTGACCTAGTCTTATAGGCCGGAGTTTAAGGAGCAATGGAAGGGAGAAGAGAATGCCAAGTTGTTTGACATAAACAAAGGCTACTACTCAAAATGAAGGTCTTGTTTCACTTTCTTAATATCCTATTTTGGTCAGTCTGGGAAGGAGAGGTCCAAATTATTCAGAGTAGGGTCTGTTATTTGCCCTTCTATATTTTTTTTTAGGTCTCTTGACCATATGAGACCTGTCATGTATGTCCATTCCTGACCCTACATGACTGACTCAGTCATGACTGGCTCCCTCCTCTGTTTTTGACATCATGAGAGGGCATGATCTCCAATGACCTCTTAACCACCTTGGAACTACAAATGAAGCTTGCGGTGTGCCTGGTGAAATGCAGATAGATATGGCAGAAGTAAGAGAGGAAGCCATGTGGCCCCAAGCTCCTCTCTCTTCTAGTGGAAAGGTGCCCCCTTTTGGAGAAAGAAGATCCTGCCCCTTGAGCAGGATCCTGGTGCCCTGTGGTAACTTGGGGGCGGGAGGGCACTGTCTTGTTGGGATAGAGTATGAGAAGTGGGAAGAACAGTCTTGGGAGCCAGGCAGACCTGGATTCAGACCCTGTGCTTGTCAGCTGGAGCCTTGGGCAAGTGATTTCACCCCTCTGAGCCTCAGTTGCGTCATTCAATTAGAACAACAATGCAACGCCTTTTTCGAGAGGTGTTTCAAAGGTTAGAACTACTGAATATCAGTGCCTAGTGCCTGATCGGTTAAAGGCACTGAACTGATGCTCATTAACATCACTGTGGATGTGTCCATGGCATCAGGAGATGGCCACTGCGGCAGGCAAAGAAACAAGCCTGAAATGAGACTCTGGTGTCATTGGAGTGGAGGAGATGCTGGAGACAGGAGGACACATTCACCGAAGAGGAATATTTCAACTCACCAATCCAGCCATGTTGGTGCAACACAGAGCGTGTAAATCCAGTGCTCTCAGGTGGTCCCTGGGGTTATCTAATTGAGTCCTTTGGTTTTATTGATAAGAAAGGAGAGGCCAGAGACCCAAAGTGACCTTCCCAAGTCCCCTGGCTAGATAGTACAGAGCCAGGTTAAAGTCCAGTAGGACCATGGCTGGCCGTGCAGGATCCCGTCCAGGGTTTCACTAGGAAGTGGAGACAGAAATGGAATTTCATCGCTATCCATGCCAGTGTTCATCTCCTTCCCTTTCCTACCTCCACCACCGTGTGTCCCAGAGAAGCCCAGAAACCCCTTCTGGAGGTTTCCCACTAAGCCTCTGCAGGCATCCATGATAGAATACCTCTCAGACCCTTCTTTCCTGAGAGAGCCTGGGGTCGCCCAGGGTGCCCCAGGTTCTGAGGAGGATCACCCTAGACTGAGTCCACCTTAAGCCATAAGATGCCAGGCCCCAGTCACTGCTTACTGATGAGAACGTCAGCTGGCCTCTCAGGAAGACAGCTCCTCATCACAAATGTTACAGCGTTTCTATGGCAGACACCTACTGATGTGAGCTTCAGGGAAGCTTGGGGTCTTGGGGTGTGGCAGCTAAATCTGTGGTCCTGAGGACCATTGCTCCTGCCTGTGACCTACACAGAAGTAGGGGGTACCAAAGAGTTGCGGCCACAACCAGCTCCTCCAGGAGCCTCATGAGGTAGCTGCCAGTGGTAGGAGCAGGAGACAGTGGCAGTCCTTATGGAATTCTAGAACCTTAGAGCTGGATATCTTCCTCTTCTATCCTTTTTGTTATAAGTGGGGAAACTGAGGCTCAAAGAGGCCAAGTGACTTACCCAGAGTCACACAGCTTGTGAAATCTTTCTACTATACCCTCTGCTTCTTTTCATGAAAACAGCAAAAATTACAAAGGCTCGGGTCTTCTGTTTCCTCTCAAAGGCTCCCTTAAGCCTGCATCTTGAGTCCATCTGCCTTACTGAAAACCCTTTCATTTCCTATCCTCTGCAAAAGTTACACAGATTTCAATCCAAGACAAGTGATATCAGCCAGAGGAGTCAGGAATATCGAGGAACGGAGGCATGTGGAGAGAATGTGAGGAGACAATGTGTACCCCCAAATGGAGTTCTTCTGTACCTACAAAAAGCAAGAGAGGGCATTAGGTTTAGACCTCGTTAAAAGCATTTCATGTTTTTTAACTGGGCTGTTCCGAGATAAATGCGGAGGACATGGATGTTTGATTTGAATTCTTGAAAGCTCAGAATTTGGCATCACTTATCATCCCAACGGGGAGAATCTGCTGCCACACAGACAAAAGGGACTTCTGATATGACCCACATACATCTGTGTGCAGCCAGCAGAGGCGGGCTGCCTCCTGCACCGCCTTAAGAGATGGAATTGTAACCTAGTTTCTTAGAAACCTACTGGCATAGATTTCAAGGCTTGGAATTTTAAGTGGGTCCTGTAATGTCTGATGTCCCTGAGTCGGGCAGAAAGATGGTATGCACCAGAATTGTGATTTGCCCCCGGCACACAGAGCCAGCCAGCTACTTCATCCACTCCAGCCTCCCCCGGGGCAAAATCAAATTCAAATGCAATAAACATTTATTGAGCACCTGCTACTTTAGACCGTTGAGGAATATAGAAATGAGTGAGGGAGCTCCCTGCTTACGATCTAGTGAGAGAGAGAGACACGGCCCCGATAACTCTGGCAGCAGGCAGATGTTTGAGGTGGCATCTCAGAGTCACCAACAAGAGAGTGACAGGATATGGGGGAGGAGGGAGAAGCCACAGGCTACATCACTTGCTCCAGTATGAGTTTTTGTTTTCTCTTTATTAAGTTTCTAAACTGTCTTATGATAATTGGCTGCTAATGCAACTGCTATTTGGCGTTTTGCAAAGGGAGCTTAAAGAAGTCTTACTCTTCTGACAGTGACTGCTAGGTCCCACTGGGAGGAAACATCGGGGGTGGGGGTGGGGAGAAGAGGAGTTTATCACCCCCTTCCTGTCTCCGAGAATGTATGTAGGTTATCCCTGAGGGAGAGAGTTTGTGCATTCTAGAAGATAAATAGACTTCCTTCCCTTCTCAGGTAATAACAGCAATTTCGCTCTTCTCAAGTTTACATTCAAGCCCGAGCAAAAACAAAACTATTAGACTTGTCGTTGGCATGCTAACAGATCATGTCTACCCTCTTCCTCTTTTTTTTTCTCCTTCCAGAGCTGAAGTTGTAATAAATGGCTCCTCATCGCCAGCTGTTGTTGACAGAAGTAATGAAAGCATTAAGCACAACATCCAGCCAGCCTCGGCCAAATGGAGGCACAACCAGACGCTCTCGCTGAGGATCAGGTAGTGGTAATTACCTATAGGGCAAGAAACAGACCCGGCCTTCTGCCGCACGAGCCGGCAAATTGCCGCTCTCCATCATCTAAAGAAGTCAGGATAGAAATAAAATGTTTACTTCCCGCCGAGGCCGGTTTCGTCTGTAAGCGATCAGTTGGAAATGAAAACCCAGGGCCAGCGCAGCAGCCCAGCACACGTGGGTGGCGACTCAGGCTGGGCTGGTGGCAGGAGCACCTGGCTGAGGTCCCGGGTTCGGAAGGAGTAAGGCTCCTGGATCAGCAGCAACGAGAGCCTGGTCCTCTCTCAGCATCCGTCTCTGGCCTAAGGTGACATCTCCTGGTTGGGCCTGCCTGGCGTCCATGCCCCTTTTCTATGGTGACAGTCATCCCATTTGTCTTTGGAAAGCGGCCCCCTCCCACAGTCCCTGTGGCTGCAGTAGGCTGCCCCTCCCTGACAACGTGAAAGTGAAAAACCAGTGCTGGGCATCCGGTGACCCAGGAGCCGATGTGATGCCTGGCTGCCGAGAGAGAGGTCTTGTCCTGCTCTCTGCAGGGTGATGTTGCAGAGCTCCGCGGTCGTTGTTGCGTGGTGGGAATGGGGAAGGCATTACCACATCAGCACTTTGGCCGCTTGACTTCGCTATAACAGTGATTGACCCAGCAAAGGCTGGGCAGTATAATCTAACGATTTGTTTCCAGGCGTTGTGCTGGGGGCCAGGGCTGCTGACATGAATCAGACACACTAGCAGGAAGACACGAATATAGGCAGAGATAGGACGGCACAGTGCGAGATTGCATCTTATAAATAAGTGCAAATAGAGAGGTCCTAGTGAGGAGCCAGTACTCTGTTTTTTAAGGTGACTAAGATGGCTGACCAGGAAAAGCTTGCCAGGAGCAATGGGTTTTGGAGAATAAGTAGGAGTTTGCCAGACGTGCGAAGCTGCGTCCCACATGTGCAGAGTCAGAAGTCTGGTGTTTATGCTCAGGGCTGCTGGGACATGAAGACACGGGTAGGGAATGAAAGGATGTGGTTGGCACGGTAGCCAGGACCAGATGGAGAAAACCTTGACTATCACAGCCAACCTTCCCAGGCCATCACCATGGGGAGGGGTGCAGAGAACAGGGGCCTGGGGCACGAAGGACAACCTTGCCCACAGCTACTAAATGTGTCACCACACAGAGCAGGGAGCTGTCCCCTCCAGGCAGGCTCACTGTCAAAATGGAAATGCCCCCAGCCCCTGGGTCTCAAGGCCTCGTGTTGGAACGTGGGGTGTGGGGAATAGAGGGGCATGAGATCTGGGACCTGGCAGCTGAGAAACCAGCTGGAAAACCTCACTCGTCCTGCCCCTGTTCTGCCGGCCCTCACTCAGCGCCTCTTCTGCACCCCCTGGGCGCACCCTCCCCCTCCTGCTGCTCCAACAGCTGCAGGCCTGCGGTACTCACCCTGGGGTCACAGCCCCGTGGCATCAGTGAGAACACTGCATTCGTTTCCTGGGGCTGCCAGAACAAATTCCACCAACGTGGCAGCTTAAAACGGCAGAAATGTGTTCTCCCACAGTTCTGGGGGCCGGAGTTCCGAGCGCTCGCCCTGAAGGCTCCAGGGGAAATCCTCCCTTGCCTCTTCCAGCCTCTGGTGGCTCCAGGCTTTCCTTGTCTTGTGACCACATCGCTCCCATCTCTGCCTCCATCTTCACATGGCTTCTCTTCTGTGTGTGTGTCTTCTGCTCTCCTGTCTCCTATAAGAACCCTTCACATGGGATGTAGGGCCCACCAGGGTATTCCAGGATGATCTCATCTCAAGATCCTTAATTTTTTTTTCTTTTTTTTTTGAGGAAGATTAGCCCTGAGCTAACATCCACCGCCAATCCTCCTCTTTTTGCTGAGGAAGATTGGCCTTGAGCTAACATCTGTGCCTGTCCTCCTCTATTTTATATGTGGGATGCCTGCCACAGCACGGTTTGATGAGCGGTGCTAGGTCTGCATGGGGGTCCGAACCGGCGAACCCCGGGCTGCCAAAGCTGAGCGCACAAACTTAACTGCTATACCGCCGGGCCCGCCCCTCAAGATGCTTAATTTAATTACATCTACAAAGATCCAAATAAAGTCACATAACAGACTCCAAGGGTTAGGAGGTAGACATTTTGGGGGGCCACTATTCTCCCCAGCACACGTCCACCCACAGCTCCCACTGGGCCTTTCTCCCGCCCTTGGGTGGAGAAATGAACACACACACCCCTTTCAGAGAAGACCGGACTGTGACCTTCATGGGGAGCCTATAGACACACAGCCACCTCGGCAGGAACAGCGTGCCTGCACCCAGGGGGAAAAAGAATTTCCTTCAACTCTCTTCGATGAATCACCAAAATGATTCATAATAAAAGATTCTGTGAGTGATTTGGAATGATGTTTAATAATTGATAGTAATTTCTCATAATGAGTTAGAAATTCATCCCCTCACAGAGGTGTTTATTGATGGGGGCTCTCGTTGCTTGTACGTACTTTGGGGTAAGTAAATGCAAAGATTTTAGCCATTTCCAAACTATATTAGTTTGTCAAGTTGTATAATCTCTGGTGAAACACAGTGGGTAAAAACAATGTGTATGGTTTCCATCAAGAGATACAAATCACTCAGCAAGGGGGACTTCCCGGGCGTGCTAAAAGAGATCCAGATCAGGAGTAAGGAAAGGCGAGTGGAAGAAGCGTGTGGAGCCCTGCCAAACGGTCCAGCTGCCTGTGGCTACGCTCTGGGCTCCCAAACCTGGTTACACATCAGTCACCTGCAGAGCTTTTGAAAGCATGCGGAGACTGGGCCATTCTCAGAATCAGCATTTCTCAGGGGTCAGCCCGGAGCTTCGGAATTCTTTATAGTTCCCCCAAGTGATCGAATGTGTATCCTACTAGGATATGCCACAGGCTGTGAGCATCTCGGATCCCCCAGGCTCTCAGGCATCAGTGTTACTATCTGTGCAATGGGCAACCATTTTGCAAATTCTCACCTTTGTAAAGTATGTGAAGATTGTGTCCCTCCAGGGCTCTGAGGAGAAGCAGACTGGCATCATTGTATCTGTTCTAGATAGGAGCTTTCTGCAGGAAATGAAATCCATTTCAGCTGATCTGCGTACCAGATTTATTTTTCTCTGTATGACCTGAATCATTTCTAAAGATCTTTTGGGCAATTTAGACAGTTCTTTAAGTAAAACCTCCAGCCAGGATCCTCAGATTCCTGGGGGCAGGCTCTCATGGTTTGAGTAAAACTTCCCTGGTGATTCCCAGGGCATCCATCCTTTTTCTGACCACACTCCATCCCATCTGTGCACTTTGCTAGATGATTCTAGAATGTTCCCCCAAATCAAAGTAACCCTAGAGCCCAGAGAGCTGTCCTTTGCTCACCTTTGTTCTGAAACGCAAAGGAACTCTGCTCTGTGGGACCAGAGAGGTATCAATATTTACAAAGCTGGACAGCAGTGAGGAGGATGGGGGAGCACGTTCCCCCGAAACAGACCAGCTCACGGATGGGAGGCGTGTTCTCAGCCTCTCGAAAGTAGGGTGGTTGACGCGCCTCACAGTGTCCACACTCCCATCCACCCCCTAGAGGCCCTTTTGGCCAGAGAAGCCTTCCATGGAAGACAATAGGCCACTGAGGAATGAGGGGCACGTGTCCTCTTGGTTTCCTGTTCCTAGTTCAGAACTGCCTGCCAGATGATGGCCCTGAATCCCACTAATAGAGGGGAGTGTGATGTAGGGTGACCCCTGTCTGGGTTTGCCCAAGACTGAGCGGTTCCCTGGAACACAGAGCTTTCTGTGTGAAAACCAGACTGTCCTGGGCAAGCCAGGACGGTGGGTCACCCTTCCTTCTAGGACCTTCTGTGATGGGCTCACATTGTGTCCTAATGGAGTCATTTCCCAGGGCAGTTGTCACATCTCAGAGGAAGAGGGCATAACCACAGCAACCAGATTGGCCCCCACCGTCGTCATCTCTGGGCCGTTCCTGACAATCCGCATCTGAAACCCGTTCTCAGAGGGCATTTGAGCTCTTAGCCCCACCTGTGCGCTGGCTGCAGCCGCCCTGCAGGGTGACAGAGGATGGGAAGGGCTGGGTTGGCAAACAGCAGCTGGCAGCAGGAAGACTTTTTCCTCATGTGTGTTTGCTTTTTGTAGGAAGCAAATCTTAAAGTTCTTGGATGCTGAAAAGGACATTTCTGTCCTCAAGGGGACCCTGAAGCCTGGAGACATTATTCATTACATCTTCGACCGAGACAGCACGATGAACGTGTCCCAGAACCTCTACGAGCTCCTCCCCAGAACCTCTCCACTGAAGAACAAGCACTTCCGGACTTGTGCCATCGTGGGCAACTCTGGGGTCTTGCTGAACAGCGGCTGCGGGCAGGAGATTGACACTCACAGCTTTGTCATAAGGTAACCACAGCAGGGCCTCTGGGCCCAGAGTGACAGGCAATTTAAGTTAAGCATTGCCAGTTGTCCCAAGAGGTTGAAATAAGATACACTGGTTGGGTTGTTCCCTGCTCTAATTTTTTTTTTTTCCTGCTTTTTTTGGTGAGGAAGATTGGCCCTGAGCCAACATCTGTTGCCAATCTTCCTCTTTTTTTTTTTTTCCTCCCCAAAGCCCCAGTACATAGTTGTATATCTTAGCTGTAGGTCATTCTAGTTCTTCTATGTGGGATGCTGCCACAACATGGCTTGATGAGCAGCGCATAGGTCCGTGCCCAGGATCCGATCCAGTGAACCCTGAGCTACCGAAATGGAGCATGCAAACTTAACTACTTGGCCACAGGGCAGACAGCACCCCCCCCCACTCTCCCCCACAGCCCCGCCACCTCTAAATCTTGACTACATGTTACAATCGCTTGGGGAGCCTTTAAAGGTCCCAATGCCCAGACTGCACCCCAGATCAATTAAACCAATCTGAAGGCTTGGGGGCAAGTGGCCCAGGGAGCCCAGGTGTTTCTGACGTTCAGCCAAGGGTGAGAACCACTGGTCTAGCACAGAGGTGGGCAGACTGTGGCCCACAGCCTGCTTTTATCAATAAAGCTTTATTGGAACAGAGCCACGCCCATTCGTTTTGATACCCTCAGGGGCTGCTTTCTCACCAGGGTAGAGTTGAATTGGGCAGAGGGAAGAGTTGCAACAGAGAGAGCATATAGCCCACAAGCTGAAAATATTTATTGTCTGGCCGTTTACACACATTTGCCGACTCCTGCCTAGAGCCTGGTATAAAATGTTGGTAAAAAATCTCCTGGGCTGGCCAGTTGTTGGTCCAAGTTTGCAAAACTCTTTTAAGTGTTCTGGAAGGTGGTATTTTACTAGTCACTTTAGTATCCTGTAGTCAAAATCGGGGAAGTTGGGGGCCACAGAGCAACTTGGATTTTGTGCTTGACCATCGTTTTTGCTGAAATATCAGCTCTCATTTTTCAGTCGGCTGATACACAATTACCCCTGGCCCTGACACTTGAACCCCAACCCAGACAGACTCGGAAACAAGGCCTTGCTGTCTCCTGGTCAAAAGTAGGGCACATGGAGCCCTGGGTTTCATCCCAAGCAGCGCCCCAGCCATGGCAGAATGCATGCCGCGTCTCACGCTTCTGTCAGGACTGTCCCGATGCAGAGAGCCTTGTCCCTTGGGGCGCGGCCTTCTCCTAGAGCTCCCGGAACCTCCAGACGTGGGGGTGGACGGTGTGTGTACTCCCACCTCCACGTGATGGAACTGCTGCTGCAGCCTAGCAGCCAAAGTCATTTTAGTTCTGACATGCTTTGCCAGCTTCTGTCTGTGCCTGTCATAGCCAGTGGCTCAGCCCCTATTTCTCAAAGGCCTCCGGTCTGAAGTGTGGCGGGCTTGTCCGACTGGAAGTCAGAGAAGGGTGAGTGGGGGTGGAGTCCTCCTCTGGGTGGGGTTGGATCGCCTCCCGGATGCTGGGCAGCATGGAGGGCAGCCTTTCTGATCTGGTGTCGCACGTGGAAGCCATGCTGCTGCCTTTTTCACGAGTTCCCACCATGAGCTTTCCAGGCTCTACCCGGCCCTGCGTCAGGAAGGTCCAGAGGCAGCGGCAGATTCTGGCCACAGGTCCCTTTGTCGACACGTACACAGCAAGGCAGGCACTGCAGTGTCTGGAGTCCGGTCTTGGCTCTGCTGCCCCCATTTGTCATGTGACTTGATGTGTGTCATTCCTTTTTCTGGGCCTCAGTGTCGTCATCTGTAAAATGGGCTGGTTGGACTGTGTCTTCGAGGTCTGTCCGCTGTGAATACCACCCATTCTTTAGTCCAGTGCCTGTCGAACTCTAACGAGCATACAAAGCACCTGAGCTTATTAAAATGCAGAGTTCTCAGGTCTGGGATGGGGCCCGAGACTCTGCATTTCTTTCTTTTTTTTTTTTGTGAGGAAGACTAGCCCTGAGCTAACATCCATGCCAATCTTCCTCCACTTTGTATGTGAGATGCCTCCACAGCATGGCTGATGAGTGGAGTAGGTCCACACCTGGGATCCGAACCGGTGAACCTCAGGCTGCCAAAGTGGAGCACACAGAACTTTAACCACTCAGCCATGGGGCCAGCCCCTCAAGACCCTGCATTTCTAACGCCCTGGCTGCAGGTGTGGGGACAGCACTTTGTGAGGCACGACCACAGCATGCTTTGCCTCTCCCCTGGGAGTCCAGTCCGCATCTACTTAGAAAAGAGAGACCTAAAACGCCAAGGAGAGAGCTACTCGAAACAATGCGCAAATGCCCTCTGACCTTTAGGCTTATGCACGTGGCTCTCACAGATCTGTGTGTCTGTGGGGTAGACAGAGTGGTGTTTTAGGACAATACTACACGACCCCAGTATGTATAGACCCCAGGTTTGATGCCAAGTGGCAGCACTGGCTCCCCTGGCCCACCGGGACCAATGCTCTGGGTCCTTCCCACGTAGGGGATTGCTGTGCCGTCCACCTGGAGAGCTCCCGAACAGAGAGCAGACAGAGTGTGGCGCTGGGAGCGCTGCAGGAGACGGCGCCCAGGGCTCGCCCACAACAGGGCACATTAAGTGTTCATTCCCCCGCCTTTCTTTGGGGTCCGTGGAGGTCACCCCACGATTCCACACCACCTCTCCTGTAGCTTTTGCCTCTCTGAACAGTCACTCTCCGTGAGCCCTGTGTCCCCACCCCAGCGCCTCACGCCAACTGTGGGCTCCTCCAAAGCAGAGTGGTTGTGTCCATCTCCGGACTCCAGTCCAAGCCTGTGCCTGGCACAGAGGTGGGGCTCCGTGGCATCGCTGAGATAACAGACATGGAGGAGGTCCTGATGGTGTGTTCTCAGCCTCTGTCAACCTGAGACCTTAATCAGGTCTGCCAGCTCCGTGCTTATGGGGCCCCTCCGCCGCGGGGGAAACACTAAGACCTCATCCCATCTCAGAAGACTCGGCACGTGAATCGTGGGAGGACACACTGCATGCAAAATGCATGAGCTTGCAAAACGTGCAGCCTTCTGGGGGAGCGCAGAGCAGGCTTCAAGAAGCCACACTCTGAGTTGGCTGACTTTGTGTCCCAGGAGGAGGACACACCCGAGGAAAGGCACGGAAGCCAGAGGGTAGGTTCACAGACCAGGGAGGCCAGTGCTTGACCGAGCAGAGGTTGCATAGGTGTTGCTGGGAATTGAGGCCAGACGGGAGGGCTGGTCCCCACGAGCCTGCGATGCCAGGGCGAGTGGACTGCCTAACTCAGGGTCACGTGTGTGCAGAGTAAATTCCCAGATGTTTGGGGCTCAAAACTTCATTGTACACACACACACACACTCATGCACACACCCGCATATACACACACTCTTTTCTTAGGGAGCATCCTATGAACAAATGCCCCTTCACAGATAAGTCATCATCATTATCATCATCACTTCACATGCATTCGCGATTAGCATGCTCCAGGTGGGATTCTGCGCTCTGCATGTTTATTCACTTATTTAATTCTCACAACAGCCCTGTCAGGAATTTTGTCTTTTGTCCTGGCTTTTGCAATGCGACAGCCAGAGGTCGAGCAGCTGGTTCAAGCCAGAACCACAGCCTGTCAGGCAGTCTGGCTCAGAGTCCACGCAAGCTGCCTCTCTCACCTGCGGGCTTGCTTCTCCCCGTGTCCCTGTGGACGTGCCTGTTTCTAGAAAGGACTGACTCTTTTCCAGCCCAGAGCCAAGCCCATCCAAGCAACGCAGCCCACCCAGAATTTGCTTTGGGAGGCCTGACCTACTGTTGGAAAAGAGGGAGCTTAGATCAGGCTTGCCCCATCCTGAATCCCCCCACCGCCCCCTAAATGAAGAAATTCACACACGGGGAGGGAGGGGCATGTCTAGAGCATCCACTCAGGGCAGAGCTGCCCTCCAACATCCTCCCTCAAAAAGTGGCCCGAGACGTGGCATGGGAAAAGCCTGGCCCTCACAGCCCGTCCCTGCCTGGAACACCCCTGTGGACGACGCCCCAACTGGCCAGTATTGTAGTGGGGCATGGACTCCCCGGCTTCCGCTACCTGGACCCCCCTGGAAGCCCCTGGGAGTGGCTCCACCTCTTTCTCTCCCGCAGCCCCTCCTGGCCCCTGATAGACTCAGTATATCTGAACCGCACTGACTCCACCTCCCTCTGCGCTCAGGACCTGGAGGCTGGCCAAGGAGGGGCCCCACGTCCTCAGGAAGGTCTGGGAAGCCTGGCTGAGCCGGGCTGCAGGGCAACACGGGTAGCTGAGACCTGGGTGGTCCCAAACTGGCCGACATGACAACAAGGACACTGTGTTCCTCGGAGGTCTGTGATGGGCTCCCGAGGGTGTCCCAGGGCAATTCCACCCCTTTGCATGTTTAGCCACAATCAGATAGAAAGGCCGGGGTGGGAATGGCAAGAGAGGATGTTTTAGGGGGTCCAGGCTGACAGAGTAGATAGGCTTTCGAGGCAGACACGCCTGAGATTGCGTCCTGGTGGGTCTCTGGGACTTGGGCCTTGGTTTCCTCATCTGTAAAATGAGAGCGATTAAATATGGGACCAGAATAAGAGGCGCTGACCTCTGTAAAGAACCAGCCACGGCTGGCACACACCATGGGCTCAATGATTAGTTTTCATTCTCATTATCTTACTTTTTCTCCCCAGTTGTTGAAGGAAGAAACTCCTTCCTTAAAAGGAGGAGTAAGCGGAGTCTTTGGGGATGTCATCATGTGACGATGACCTGTGGCCCTGGTCCTCATGTCTCCAGCTCTGTTCTACAGATGCTTATTCTAATTTCTCAGGCTTCATTCCATTGGGCAAAGAGCTTTTCTGCCATCCAGTCCTCCAAGCCAAGCAACAGCCAGGTCTCCCCAGAGTGTCCCTGTTGCCATCTCAGTCCCGTCAGCTTTCAGCATGGGCCGGAAGCCAAAGTGTGCACACCCAGGCTGGACCCATGAAGGTCCCGCACAAAGCAGACCTCTGGTGACATAACAGAGGCTGTCCACCCAGGGCCCCTGGCTGGTTCAGCAAGAGATTGCCATGGCCTTTTAATTTGCCCTCCCAAACCCAGTTCTCTCCACTCCAGTACCTACTACAACTTCATCTTATTGTTGCCTAAAATGCAAATCTGTCTATGTTACTCTCCTGCTCAAGAACCTTCAGTGACTCCCTATTGCCCTTGGAACCAAGTCCTCAACATACAGACCCTTTGATAGGTCACCCTGCTTGCCTCTCCAGCCCATCTCCTCCACAGAATATGCCCTAGTCAGCCCAATTCACTTGCATTCCTCTAAATACCCACACTGTTTCACAGCGGTATGCCCTTGGTTACCTTTCTTGTGCCAAAAATGCCTTAGCATGATGTTTCCTAAACTGCCTAGTTATAAAACTTACCTGAAGAGTTTGGAAAAATAAATATCAATTCCTAGGCTACTGCCTCAGGCAATTCTTCTGCTCCGGCAAGCTGGAGAAACATTCTCCTAATGTGCCTTATCCATGGATGCACTTCTGCTTATCCATCCTTCTAGACGTCCCTCAATGGTCACCACCTCCAAGAAGACCACCTGAAGCTCTTCCTTCCCATATCAGTGATGACAATAGTTAACATTTATCGAACTCTTATGTGATCCAGCAGTGTGCTAAGTACGGGTGTGTGGTGACCCCTTTAGGCCCTGGGAGGAGGTGCTGTTCCATCTTGGCTAAAGAAACTGTTGTGGATATTCCTTAGCCAGAAGTAAGCTCTCAGAAAGCACAGAGAGGTTGAGCGGATTGTCCAGAATCACACAGATAGGAAATAGTCGAGCTGAACTCTGAACCCAGGAGAGTGCCTGATGTGGCCAGGTCACACCTGCCTACACGACGGTCATCTTGTGGGCCAAGGGCTGGCCTGCTTGCTCCCTTCCTCCTCTACTAGATTCTGAACTCCAGAAGACAGGCATTTTACACCCCAGGGCCAAGCTAAGTTCTACATATGTACTAAGAGCCTGGTAAATATGTGCAGCAGGACAAAAAGGCACAAGGATGACAGGAGGGACTTGGGAGTGCGGGAAGATGTCCTGGGACCTCGTTTTGTGATGAGGAGGAAGCGAGGAGAGGCAAAGGATGGGTAAAGTTGAATACAAGCAGCAGTGTCTCAGCTTTCCCAAAAGGACCATGTTGCCTTTTTCTCCGGCAGGTGCAACTTGGCCCCGGTGCAGGAGTACGCCCGGGATGTGGGGCTCAAGACAGACCTGGTGACCATGAACCCCTCCGTCATCCAGCGGGCCTTCGAGGACCTGGTCAACGCCACATGGCGGGAGAAGCTACTGCAGCGGCTGCACAGCCTCAATGGCAGCATCCTGTGGATCCCCGCCTTCATGGCCAGGGGTGGCAAGGAGCGCGTTGAGTGGGTCAACGAGCTCATCCTGAAACACCGCGTCAACGTGCGTACCGCATACCCCTCTCTGCGCCTGCTGCACGCCGTCCGCGGGTGAGCGGCCCCTCCACGGGGAAGGGGGGCCATCACTGAGTGTGGGAGGTGCTTGGTAGGCAATGCCTTGCCCAGATGCGTTTGCATCCCAGCTCTGCCACTCACTAGTTGTGTGACCTCAGCAAGTCACCTGACCTCTCTGAGCCTCCCTTTCTGGAGAAACGAGGGTGTTGGCAAGTGGGCTTCATCTGAGGATTGGTAGTACCTGCCTGGGGAGCTCTGTGGAGAATGTTCCTCCAACTGCTGCTGTGTGGAGAATAAGCCATAAGGCGACAAGGATGGGAGCAGGAGCATTTGTTGAGAAGCTGTTGGAATAGGAGGTCGGGAATAATTGTGGCTTAGACTAGGGCAGTGGTCGTGGAAAGGCCACAGTTCGGTCAGATTTGCTATAAAATTTGGAGTAGGGGCAGCAGGATTTGCTGATAGATTCTATTTAAGGACCTCAAGGGGTGAGAGAAAGAAAAATCCAGGGTGACTGTCAGGATTACAGCCTGGACAAATGAGCGGACAGTGTGCCAGTTTCTGTGATAGCAGAGCCTGGCGGAAGCCCATGCACGTCGGGAATTGTTGAGGAAGAGAGGTCTCTCCTAGGCAGATTGACTTTAAGATGCCTCTTACACATATAGTCCACTCACTCCTGACCTCTCAGCTTGGGGTCAGGCCCTGCATCCAGCTGCCTATCCAACCACATGGCCGTTCACAGTCCTGTTCTACTGACGCAGGAGAGCTCTCTGTCCAGATCCCCAGTGACTGGGGGAAATTGGAATGCTCTCCACTGATGCCTTAGCATAACTCCGTGTGACTGTGGGAAGCCCTCTGAGTCACCCACAAAGAACTCTTGCTGTCCTCATAAAGGTGACCCCCGAGGAACCCAAGCCTGTGACCGGCACTGGTCTCATTAGGGTGAGTGTCAACACAGAAACCCACAGGCCCCAAGAAAGACCCAGAAAGACGTTCGATAAGAGGCAGCCACGTTTGTGGCTGATGGAGCAGAGCGATGCCTGTATGGGCACAGGGCTCAGTGGGCCACATCCCTTATCCTGGAGGTTGACTGTCTTCAGCATCTGTTTCACCCCGTCACAGAGTGGGTCTGCCTCAGCAACTTCCATCTCATAGATTTAGGCCCCATGCCTCCAATGTTGTTTCCTCCTGGAAGGAGGAAAGTGGCTTAGGGGTCAGAGGGCATAAGAGAAGGAGAAGCACTGCCCTTTGGTAACGAGAAAAAGTCCCTTTGATGGGGAATGGGCAACCACCTGGAAAAAACGTATGCAGCCAGAGCTATTTCCAGCTATAATTGACTCACTTTCATCTGTCAAAATAGCATTAAGCGCCAGTAATAAGCCCTTTAAACAAACAGGCTGTTAATCCTGAGATCGCATCATCCTCCTTCACAGGAACTCCCGGGAGGAAATACTGCAGGAGAGACGGACGGGCGGGCCTCTGATTTTAGCAAGCGGGGAGGGTGGCTTCAGGGGCCTTGGAATGGATTTCTGCCAACGGCCCTCTCCCTCTGTGGAGCCAATGGGCCTTGTAGGGTGTGAGGTCCAGTAGGGCATTGCTGAAAAGGTGGGCAGCATTTGTAGTGAGAGGAAGGGCTTGTCTCTGTCTTGGTGGGAACTTAGCTGGTGTTTACTGCAAGAGGAGGAATGGGCTAGTGAGGGATGCAGAGCAAAGCCACATGAGAAAAGACCAAGGGCTCGTGGAGAGGAAGGCTGAGAAGGGACCTGGCCAAGAGGCAGTCTAGCCTAGCATCAAAAACATGGGCTTTGGGGGTAGATACCTGGGTTCAAAGCCCAGCTCTGTTACTTGGTTGTGTGACAACCTTGAACAGGTCACTTGACTCCCTGAGCCCTGCTTTCTCTGTCTCTACTCTGGGGAACACTACCTACATCCTGTGCTGACACAGGAGAGACTTCCGATCAGTCAGCTATGGCTACTGGAGTCATGGCGGCTGCCTCCAACTGCCAACCAAGGGAGCAGACTTGTCCTAAGACTCAAGATTTAGAAGTAAAGCCAGAGGGTGGAACCATAGGAGGAAAGTACATTTAGGCTCAATTTGATAAACGATTCTGTAGAAGTCAGAGCCGTGGACTAAGTCCAATTCACCTGTCGGGAGTTCTTCACCTCAAAGTTCCAATGCGGACTGTAGTTTGCAGAATCACCTTGTTTCCTTATTTAAAAATCTATTGTCCAGTAAACCCCCTGTTTGTAGGGTGGGAGGGGATGAACCTTTTTTATTGTAGTAAAATATACACAACATAAAATTTACCGTGTTGATGCTTTCTATATAGGTCAGTAGTGTTAAGTATATTCACATCGCTGTGAAACAGATCTCCGGAATTTTGTCATCTTGCCAATCTGAAACTCTATACCCATGAAACAACAAATCCCCTTTTCCCCATGCCTCTAGCTCCTGGTGACCGCCATTCTACTTCTGTTTCCATGAATTTGGCTACTTTAGATACCAAATATAAGTAGAGTCGTATAGTATTTGCCTTTTTTTGCTACGGGCTTATTTCACTTAACATAACGTCCTCACAGTTCATCCGTGTTGTAGCGTGTTTCAGACTTTCCTTCCTTTTGAAGGCTGAATAATATGAATAGTATGGCTATGCCACATTTCGTTTGTCTATTCATCCATCTACACACGTTTGGGCTGCTTTCACCTCTTGACTATTGTGAATAGCGCTGTTATGAACATTGGTGTGCGAATATCTCTCAGAGACCTGCTTTCAATTCTTTTGGGTATATACTCAAGTGGAATTGCTGGATCATATGGTAGTTCTATTTTTAATTTTTTAAGGACACTCCATACTGTTTTCCATAATGGCTGCACCATTTTACAACCCACCAACAGTGCACAAGGGTTCCAATTTCTCCACATCCTCACCGACACTTGTTATTCAATTTCTTCACATCCCTGCCAACACTTATTTTCGTTTTTTTCTATAGTAGCCCACTTTAACCCCCTTTTTTTTTAAAAGATTGGCACCTGAGCTAACAACTGTTGCCAATCTTCTTTTTCTTCTTCTTCTTTTGCTCCCCAAAGCGCCCCAGTACGAAGTTGTATATGCTAGTTGTGAGTGCCTCTGGTTGTGCTATGTGGGACACCGCATCAGCATGGCCTGACAAATGGTGTCATGTCCGCGTCCAGGATCCGACCCAGCGAAACCCCAGGCCGCTGAAGCAGAGCGCATGAACTTAACCACTGGGCCACGGGGCCAGCCCCCCGACTTTAACCATTTTTAAGTGTAAAATTCACTTAGAAGAAATTCACTCTTAGAGGAAAATCTTTATGACCTGGGTTTGGCAATGATTTCTTAAGTATGACACCAAAAGCACAGGCAACAAAAGAAAAAATAGGTAAAATGGACTTCGTCGAAATTAAAACTTTTTACGCACCAAAAAGACAATATATCAAGACAGTGAAAAAAAACCATGCATAGAATGGAAGAAAATATTTGCAAATCATATGTCTGATAAGGGATGAATATCCAGAATATATAAAGCACTCCAGCTCAACAACAAAAAAATCAAACAACCCAATTCAAAGGACTTGAATAGACATTTCTCCAAAAGAGGCACACAAATGGCCAATAAGCACATGAAAAGATGCTCAGCATCACTAATCATTAGGGAAATGCTAATCAAAACCACAATGAGATACAACTGCATACCCACTAGGATGGCTATTATCAATTAAAAAAAAAAAAGGAAAATAAGTGTTGGTGAGGATGTGGAGAAACTGGAATCATTGTGCTTGCTGGTGGGAATGTCAAGTGGGAATCAATTTTGAGACACCCTAGTGTCTTCATTTTGCAAATGAGGAATTTGATGCCCAGACATGATGGGTGGTACGCATGAGTCACCCAGCCGGTAAGTGGCGCAACCAGGAGCTGAACCACATCATCTAAGTCTAAGGCAATGCACCAGATGCAGCAGAAATTCGCACCCATCCGGTACTGGATTTGGGGGCCCAATGAGCTCAGTGGGCTGGGAGATGCCACAGTGGAGAAGTGGCATCAGGAGACCACAGTGCTACAGTGTTAGCAGCACACCAGGACTCCATGTGCGCACACAGTCACTCTGAGCACGGGGCAGCTGTCCCACCAGGCAGAACAAGCTGAAAGGTCAGAACACCTCAGGGGCCCCCTAGACGCCTGCTGGCACCTAGGGCTTGTTTCAACAGTCCCGTTGAAATCCCACTTGAGGTTCTCAATGTCATTTGCCCCTTGACCTCGCCTTTGCCCTCCCTGATTTTCCTGACTGTGCCTTCACATCCAAGCCATCTTTCAGAAGAAAAGCAGCCACCCTCAGACAGCACCCGTGCTGAGTGCTACCTGTCCTGAATGCTGCTATGGTGGCTGGAAACGCCCTAGACATGTCCATATACAAGTCAGTGTGCCCCTAGGGCTGGTTTAGTGTCCCAAAGCCATCCATTCATGGGGAGGACACTGAGATATTCTATTAACGGCAAATAGGCTGATTGTGAAGATGAAAAGAAATTGATTGTATCAATCACCTCTCCTGGACCCCAGTGCTGGTCATATTGAGTCCACCTAGCATATGGCAGAGCCAGGCTTCATGTCACGAGACCTAGGTGACGATGGTGTCAGTGCGCCTGAATGAACCATCTCCCAGCACACAGCTGTGGTTGTTAACCTACTCCTTATTACTAACTGTTGTAATCCTAAGTGCCATGTGGCAGGGACGATGCCACTTCAGGCTGCATACTGTCCCTTGCATAGTGCCTGAGACATGAAGGCATCTGATGACTGGCCGGGGGCTCCCCAGTGAACTCAGATTTTAAAGGACATGTAGGAAAATAGACAAGGGGCACAAATAACGTAGCTAACACTTCTGTGCCAGGCACCATGCTAAGCATTATCTCATGTAATGAGAGATCTACTACCATTATGCCACTTGAACGATAAGAGAATTGAGCCTCAGGGAATAAGTAACTTGTACACAGTCAGTGGCCGGTCAGGGACACATCCAGG